TTAGGTTACCGAATTCCATGACGGAGCAGCAGGTCTTCGTGACTATGGCGTTCACCCCGCGTGCGGTTCACCAAACAAATGTGTGTAACAGAAAAAGAATGTAACGAGGGATCAGAACGGAGAACCGGGAGCATGTGAGTTAGTTTAAGAAGATGATTTCATCAAAATGAAGCAGTTTTTAATTAAGCATGGGATGTATCATTGGAACAAGAATTCGTCTGTTTTAGTTGCCGTTTCAAAACAGGAAGTAAACCAAACTTGACTGCTTGACTGTGAAGAAGATAACAAGTTTTTAGCCCATTTCAGGAAAACGTCAGGATGTTTGGATTATTAAGCTTGGATTAGCCGATTGTTCACAGACACCAAGCACTCTTGAAGGTCTTGGGTTAATCCTCGCTTGATTCTCCAAATTGATTGAGACATTCGCTTCGCACAACGTGATGACCGTCGACCGTGTGGAGCTCACGGGTAAGGGTCTGAACTATCGACCCAAATGTTGGCGGTTCGAGTCCGGATGGGGACCCAAAAAGTACGCAATTCCCAAGTACAATTCCTAAACAGGATGAAACAACTGTCCAGTGTTCTTTGTTTGTCATCACAGGCATTTCCATCGCATTTGAAACGTTACGTTGCAGTTCTAGTTTGCGGTGTGACTTTATGCATAATACACGAATTTTGGTTCGGTACTATGCATTTTTATGTGTGAAGGAAATCAGAGTTTAAAGAGAGATGATGAAATTGTGATAATTAATGATAACTGATGGCGATTGCTATCCGTCTCCAAAACCCACCCACCCCTTGTGCACCCAGATATTGATTGTAAAAACACGGGTCTTACCACGGTCATTCACTAACAATCTGATGATTTAACCTCCGTTCATGATCTCTCACTCATTCGCCTACCCACACGTTCACAACTACCCTATGTCTCTCCCTTCCCACGAACACAGACACACACTCACAGTGGTTTAGTCGGTGTCACCAGCGTGCTTTGGACCCTGTGGTCCCTGTAGTTCAAGCCCCGCCACCGCCACCCAACTTTTATGGTAGGCAACTCTGATATTGTCTGGTTTAATGCCAACTATAACCTAGCGGTGCCTTATGTGATTGGCCACTCTAAGTCCCGGGGCTTAGATTGCTGGTTTACACCCGTAAACAGCAGGTCCTCGTGACTATGCGGTTCGCCCCGTCTGCTGCGCATCACACTTAGGTACGTAATAAAAATAGTCCATCATCTATCTCTCTTTAAACTCTGATTTTCTTCGCAGATAATTGTCTTCTCTCCCCGCCTGTTTAATCCATATGCTTTGCAGATAGACACACAGACACACATGGACACAATAGCTCACTAGTACCTTGAATGCTGCTTTCTTCTTAGATCCTTACGGAACGACTTGGTCCTAACTTACGTGAACCGGTTATCGGGCGGACAAGAAGACCGGATGAATCGTTCCGATGTGTGTTCCCTAAAGATGATACTCCGCTGGTATGCTGGTTGGCTAATACGGTGCGTGAGTGTCTGGTACGGGAGATCAGTGCGGTGGATTTGCCAAAAGGCGGTCGACACAAACTGATCGTACACGTGCTTCATGTGGACGAACCGCCTACGGTCCCGTCGGCCGAACTGATCATGTCTAGTTGTGGTCTGTGGAATTCCGACACGGATCGATGGTTTGCTGTACACCATCAAACCGCAATCGGTACCATTGTGGTCAGTGTGTTCGCCTGTTACCACGAATGATTATTGGTGATGATAGGAAGTGGTGGACTAATTGTGCAGTACTCGGACTATCGAAGATACTTTTCACTTATGGTCGGAGGTGAAGAATTTCGGTCAAAGTATTGGAAATAGAAACAAGAAAAAATGATTTATATCGACGTATACATGGGTGAAAAATGTGTAACTTTTTCTGAGTAATGTTAATTTTGAATACGAAACATGTTCGTAATACTTATGGTTCGGTGGTAAATTAACTGTCTGTTGATTTTTATTTCAATGGATTTTTGTATTGTTTACCCGAAAGCAGTGATTGATTATGAGGGGTAGTCAGTTGTTTACGTAGCTTTTCTCCTCTTTGTGCAAGTGATATATCACATCCTATATTTATTTATTTATTTTTATTTTCACACATTTCTAAAACGAAACTGTGTGCTAAACAAACCATGATACTCCGGCCTTTTACAGTACAGCGGTGTGAACAGATATGTCTCTCGGCTGGCATTCTCACAGTGGAAGACGATACGAGGCTTTGCGAGCGACGAACAACAAACGGCGGTAGGGATGCGGGCCACGGGTTGTCAAGGAAACACGAGGCAGACAGGTGGTCTTCCTTGGGTCGCAGTTGAAGTCAAACAAACGCCATGTGCCGAAAAGGTTCCGTGAGATACAAGTACTCATAATATGATATTACTGGCGCGGTTGCCAAGCGTCACAGTACGATAATCTTTGTAAAAAATAAAAACATTCCATGATTTGCATGGGGGCGGAATATTACCAGATTGCCCAGGCCAAGACAGGTGAATTTCCTTGAGGAATCCACAACCGGAGCCTTCGGCTAGCCAAAGCCTGACCCGCAAGGCTGCGGGGGCATTGTGTGGAAGCCGTAATGCATTGGAGGCTGGTGTCCAGTTCATCGGATCGTACGCCCTTTGGACGGGGTCAAACGTCCAAGGTCTCAATACACCTCGATACTCCATCGAGCCGGTGACCACTGCCACAACTGAAAAGCTGTACCGGGTTCATGCACCTACTCCTGGTTAGCTTG